CAACAGCATTGGAGGTGGAGGGCACAGCACGTAGCAAAGGCTGTCAACTGGGAGCAAGCTTGGTATGTGCTGGAAATGGAAAAAATTAAGTACTAAAAAAATATGGAAAACTATGGTAGAAAATGTGAGTAAACCAAATGTGTATCTGTGTGTAACAGATGTACCCACAGTATCTGAAGGAGAAAATAAAGAAATATATTATCAGGTTTTGACTCATTCCCTAAAAGTGCTATATAAATGGAGGTGTCAGGAAATCTAGGAGTTTCTTAGATCCTCAACAAAAGAGTAAGCTCTCTGAGGACAGGGAGTCTGTCTCGTCATTCTTATGTCTGAGTGTAATGCCAGGCACAGAGAGGAGACACTTGATAAATATTTGAGGAATTAACGCGTGAAGGAAATGAAGGAATGCCCAAGACTGAGATTCACAAGTTAATATCATCTGCTTTTAGTCTATCTTTCTGTCTCAATTTGGCATTGCAACTGCACCCAAATACAATCATGTAAAATGGAAGAAAAATGCTGAAATGTAAGAAAACTATCTATAAGGTTTTTAATAATTCCAAGAACCAAGAAGAAAACAGATTAGGGAAATTGGCAAGAGCACTTTTATGTATTTATATATTGTTTGTGTTTTAGAGTGAAATTGCTATTTCTTGATGTATGTCATGTCCCCATAATTTGGAGGCTAATGCATGTTCAATTCCTTGGAAAAGAGCTCTTTAAGTCTGAACCTTAGGAAATGAGTAGCTTTCTTAGTCTTTAATCAGAAAGATCTTTTTGAAAGTGCAGAATACAATTGTTTAAAGAGGAAAATAAAGACTTCTCATCAAATCATGAAAAGTATGATTTTTTAAATCCCAAATTGCTTTGTAAATGAAAGATTGGCTCATTTATTTTAATGGCAATCTCTCAGAAAAATCTTGGGAGTTAATAATTAAGTTAATACAATTCTAGTAGCAATTCTAAAGCCAATCGATCTGTGTTTATTTTAATAATCTTATTACACACAGAGTGAACAACTGAGAGGTTGGGCAAAGTAACTTGTCTTGTGTAGGAACTACAAAATGGGCATTGCAATTCATATGTAAAAAAACGATTTTATTAAAAAATGTCAATTGTCCTGAGACTGCCTCTATTTCTGGAAAGGTTTTGGTACATTTAGAAACAATCTTTCTATCTGAATCAATCTTTGAACCAATGACAAAATTAAAATTGTGTCTATTGTCTACCTGGATACACCTGATTTATGAATATTTTTCTAAAAAGTAAGTTATGTACTGTTAGAATTATAGGAAAACGAGTAACTGAGGTTTTGAAAATATTATATGAACGTATGTAATGTTCATAACTCTTGGATGACAGACCAATTGTTCATGGCATTTATATGCTCTTTACATAATCAGGACTCTTACTGAAGTTAAAAAGAACTTTCTGTGCTTGACATTTGGATGAATATTTGGTGGGGGAAAGTATACCTTTCCCTAAGTTTCTGTAACACACATTTACAAACAGTGCTTTGTAGATAAACTTCCAAGAAATTCGCTCTGACATTTCCCTGCTCTGCATGGGCCTGGGGCATGGTTGGGTTTGCAAGATGAAACAAATTAATGCTTATCAGTTCCCAAGCTAAGATTTTAGTTAATGTCCTTCCATGCCTTCCCAACCCCTTCAACTGCTGTTAAAGTTCAACCATTTGGCTTTTGAGTGCATCACAGCGAGACTATGATTGATACCATCAGACAGATACCATAGGCAGCCAGGCAAGAGGAAAGTGGTGCCAACCCTGTTACAAAATCCCTGCCTGTTAGGATAACTCTGGGAGCTGCCAACACCATGGAGCAGAGAAGGCAGATTCTCATGTTGTTTACTTTTTATAGAATCAGGATGCCATGAATCAGAGAGCCCATTTGACCCTCTACTAAGGACCTTCCTCTATTAAGAGGACCTAGTCTTTGTGTCTTCCAGTGGAGTCTAGTATATTGTAGCTCATTTGACCTTTAAAGACCTTGTCCACAGGATGGCTGATTGTTATAGCTCCTCCAAGGAGGATTTAGTCTATTTATTGTAGTGTATTGCTAGTAAGCAGCTGTTATTTCAATGGATCTGCCCTACTCAAGTGGACCTTGTAAATATACACATACCATCAGCCTAGTTCTCTCCAGTTGAAACCTGGAGCTGTCAAAGCCACAGTTAATATTGCTTCCTGCCTGTCTGAGTGCATGTCCACTGTGAGTGATGTGTGGATAAATCAGTGAGCCAACTGTGAATCTGAATAGCTTAAGAAATATTTATCAGAACACTTCTCTTCTGGCTTCTGCAGTACTAGGCAGGCTCTATGAGGGAGTGGGAAAAAACCAGTCTGGGTTGAGGTCCCCCTGGATTACAGCCACCAACAGGAAGATTTCCATATGAAACACTTGACCAAAAATATGGACAACGGCATAGCTCACCAGAATGATCATTTGATTTGTGGACATAAAGCTGTGTTTATACATTCTGGCCAAGATAACCCCATCGTTGGTCATAAAAATATCGATAAAGAAGTCAGGTGTTCCTAGGAAAGTATGCTTTTATTTTTTTGACCTAAAGATCAGTGTTTGGTGAAGTTATTGTAAGCTTTAGAGCACCATCATATTGTCTCTCTCCCCATCTAGCCTCTGACTTCTGTGATTACAGGACCATAATTAGTGCACCTGTGTCCCACCAGGGACATGGTCGGTATTTAAAAATATTTGTGGGCATGAGTGAATGTTCTCTGCAGTTAGGGCATCTCCAGGAGCAGCAGACAGCATTTTTTTGTCTACTTCTACCCTGCAAGTTCAGGAGGGGAAACAGGCATGGCAAGTTCTTTCTTAGTGGTCTCTGTCACGCAGCTCCCCTAAATCATTTGACATTTGCATCTTTAGTCACTCTTTTGTCTTTACCATTCCTAAATATGAACAAGTATTTGTGGAATCCCTGATCTTATCCTGGTGTCTGTGAAGGTTTTGTATTTCACTTGCGTCCTCTAGGTTCAGTGCTCTGTTCTGTGTTCTCACGGCCTCTGTATACACATCTCTCTTTGGAGAGCCTGACCACCCTGTGTTGGTCATTGCTAGATTACTCATCTGTCTTCCCCTTGGACTGTCAGCTCCGTGAGTTTGGGGTCTGGCTTTCTTCTCTATCCTCAGTGTCTAATGTTGTATTTGACCCATTGTTAGCTTGTGTTGATGTTTATAGAATGAATGAATGAATGTATCTTTGGTTAGATCATCTTTAGGCACTTGTTTTCAGATGGTGGCTAGAAAAGTGAGAGCCTGTGGCACAATTCATAAGGTTGTTGTAAATAGCATGTCACTGAGACCTGTCATCTGGCCTTGACTGCTATTCATGTGGTGCCTTGCTAATGTGTTTCTCATTGCAAAGTAAGGGGCTCAAAAATAAAATTAAAAATGATCTTTATATAGATATAGCACTAAAAAAGAGATATCTGGTGGTATGTTACCAAAAGCCTGTAGGCATAGGGCTTGAAATGAATTAGATCAGGCCTGGTAGTTAAATTAAAAATTTGAATGTCCTTTAAAATGCAGCTTATGGCCGTAGCTCTTTGCTTTCTGCAGGGCTGTTCTCTGTGGTGTTGCTGGGATATGAAAGGTTTCAGGTCAAGGGTTTGAAGGTGAATGAAAATTTCAAGGGGACCAAATAAAACAGGGTCAAATAACACATCCGATGAAATGGTTTTCAGAATATATAACTGTATAATTTTAAAACAGTGAGTGATGTAAAATTTTATGTTAAATGAAAATAATACATATAGTATCAAATGAAAATAGTACCAAGAGTGTATTATAGTACGCCTGGTTTTTCCCAGAGACCACCTCTTGATATTCACGTAGTTACCACATAAATCTAGGTGCTGTACTCATATCTCTCTTTCATGATAAATCAACTTTAAATGGTATGTATTGACATCCACCCATTATGTAAAATGAGGATACATTTAGTCATTTATACTCCTCCCTCAATTCCTCCCAATATTGTATAATAAAATTATTATTTTTAGTTTTTCTGTTGGTCAGTGCTATAATCTTTACTATTTACTTGAGTTTCTAGTTTTGGGGATTCACGTCATTTCCGTTGTGTCTCTTGATGCCCCGTGTTGTGAGATGACAATGCTGATGCCTTTACTACATTTCCTCCCTCCTGTTTCATGTCTTACCTGCATCAGCTCCCCTTTTACTTTTTCACTGCAGGGAAATATGTTAGTATTTGCATTCTGTCCTGCGGGGAGAGATTTGAAGGGAAAATTGAAAACCAAAGACAGTAAGTGACTTGCCTGAGGTCTCTTAGCTGGTTAATGTTAGAACCAGGACTAAAACCTGGGGCTTTTGACTCCTAATCTAGTGTGCTTTCTGCAGCTAAATTCATCGATTCATTCATCAAATGTTTATTGAATGTCTGTTTTCCACCAGGCACTATGTTAAGTACCAGTAATACAAAAATAACAATAAGTGGTCTCAAATCTTATACTTCATAGTCAAGTAGAAGAGACAGATAGGTAAACAAATAATTAGGTTTCAGTGCAATAACGCACAAGAGAAGGTTTTACTTAGTTGTTGTTTATTTTCTTTTTTATCCCACAGGTCAGAGATTAGAGAACTTGCTATAACTATTAGAAGTGACAGCTTTAATATGTTGAGGAGACAGTGTTTTACCCAGCTAACTTATGCATGTTTGAAAAATAAATAAGACTTTGCTGATATACTTTAAGGAAAGTAATTTTAATCGTCTCTTTCAAGATTAAATAATGAAAGCAAAAATTTTTATAAATTTATAATTATAAATTATATATCATGTTTTATGTGCTCAATATATTTTTATGTGAGAGCATCCAAATATTCTTCAGTTATCCTTATAGATTTATTTAGTGCTTTGATTTCAAGTCTAAGACTTATGCATTTTTTTATAGATCCTTTTCATGGTGACTTGTGAACTTTTTCCTTTCTTTCTCCCTCCCTCAGATTTTCATCACCGTGAATTGCCTGAGTACAGATTTCTCCTCCCAAAAAGGGGTGAAAGGACTTCCTCTAATGATTCAGATTGATACATACAGTTATAATAATCGTAGCAATAAACCCATTCATAGAGCTTATTGCCAGATCAAGGTCTTCTGTGACAAAGTGAGTAAAGATGACAGTTTGTCATAAAGGTATCTTTGTTATTAGACATTACTTTTAATGACATTTCTCCTTGTCACCTTTTCTTGTCCAGTGGTGTAAAAATAATCACCTTATCAATCACAGTGGGAGTGGTAATCTTTCATTTTCACTTCCTATTAGATATCTCAGGAGTCATCAGTCAACTGAATTTTTTTAGTCAATCATTTTTACCACTAATTTAATGACTGATTGACATTGCACTGTGCTGTGAGTCTAATTCACTTAGATAACTGATATAATAGATTAATAGTTTTTATTGGGTATAGATCCTATCCCAGAACATATCGATGTAACCTTTCTTATTTTATGGGTTAACTGGACTCTCATCTAGAGCTTTTTGGGATGGAAATGGCACCTATGAAATAAGTTTGTTAGTAAACATGCACTCAGAAGGAGATATAGTTTTTGAATTTCCCTAAATCCCACCATAAGAGACAGAGCAATTAGAATAGCAAAGCTTAAAATCCCATGATTATGTGACAAGAGATCCTTACAAATCCCAAATATGAGTGGAACTAAGAATCAACAATTTCAAGACCTGTGTGATATCAGCAACATGAGGGAAAGCAGTTGGGCCACATGATGACCAAAGAAGAGGAAACCTATAAAATTGCCCCAAGGTACTCACTGGAGAGTGAAGTGGGCCATCTGAGGACTGTATGTGAAACTGGGGTGGGAGGATATGGATTCTGCAGATTGTAATTTGTTGCTGGTGCAAGGGGATGTAACATTGGAGTGTTTTGAGCTCTATGAACTCTGGAAAGTTACATATTGAAGTTCCCTTCTAGAACAAAACCCTGCTCTGAGAAGAAGCTGCTGGGAGTAGAATTCAAGTTGAGATGGAACAAAAAAACAATAAGTACAAAGGAAAGAGAAGTTCCAAATAAAAAGAAAGAGGGGGGAGGATACAGAGTAGACAGATCTCAGGAAATACAAGACTATTTTCTTTTATCACTTTGTGAACACACCGGGCAGGAACATGAGAGCCACGAATCTAGAAGAACTATCCTGGTCCTCTCATTTCACTTAAAAATGACCAATAGAAAAGAGAAACAGTTGAATCTCATACAAAGTCTCATGAAAAGAAGAGATGAATATCAGACTAACTTCCCTGTGGACAATGGATGCATGCCAGAAAGATATGCCCACAAAACAGGTGAAAGCTACAGACTAATGTTCCAAAATGAGCTAAATGAAATTAAGAAAATCATAGAAGTTATGAAGATCAGCATAAATCACAATTTGAAAAATTCGGATATGAGATGTTTGGAAAATGGAATGATTTGAAAAGAGATGTGATAGAATTCAGGAAAAAATTTAGAAATGAAAGATTAAAATATTTCAGAAGTAAAAACTGCACTAGAAGAACACAAGAGTGAATAAATATAACAGATAATGCCTTAAGGGAAATACAAGTTAGAGCAAAATTTTAAAAGTCAGAAGAAATGAAGAAAGAGATGTGAGAAAAAATGATAGATATAGAAGACAGGTAAAGAAGATCCAATATATGTGTAATAGGAATCTTTGAGGAAGAAAGCCAAAACAATGGAACAGAACAAATGCTACACACAATAAATCAGGGAATGTTACAATAGAAAGTATACATATTTAAATGGCCTACTGCACACTTGGGAAAATTGACCCAGGATAACCAATTCCAAATTGTCAAGCTATTGGATTAAAAAAAAAGAAAAAGAAAAATATTCTTTGGGCATCTAAGTAAAATAAAATAAAATAAACAATAAGTCACTTATAAGGAAACTTTTATCAAACTTTTCAACAGCAGCACCTTGTCAGAAGACAATGATATTTAAGGTCATCAAGTAAAGAAAATGTGAGCCAAGGATTTTATATCCAGCCAAACTGACTTTCAAGTGTAAAGACTATAGGCAAAACCAAAACAAAACAAACAAACAAACTACCAAAAAAAAAGGCACTCTTAAAGGCGCTGCCATCAGTTGTATCGAAGGTCTGCTATGCCATTAAAATGTCGGAAAGTTCTGGTTCAACAGTGATGGAGTGTAGGGAGAAGTGGGCTTCTGTGAACAGATAGCAGAGATGGTCACGAGAAGAGAGAAGGACACATGAACTAGAACTGCACTGGGGTGTTGGGACGTGCAGCAGAGTGGTAAATGTCCCCAAAATCTCAGTAGCCTTTCAGGTCATGATGATTTCAGTTAGTGCCAGTCATCTAGCCGTCCAAGCGGCACAGCACTCTCGGGGAAAGCAGGCAGCCTCCACAGTACAGAGGTCAGTTCAGTCCATAGACAAGGTTGTTGTGTGCATGGGGGAACAGTGGGTCAGCGAGCACAATCACTTGCCCACAGTCGTACACTAATAAAGTAGAGGAGCTGGGTGCAAATACAGGTCTGATTCTAAACTCAAACTCCTTGACTTGGTGAATAACTTTATACATAAAATACCAGAATGACGACTGACGATTTAAAACGTCAACTGAGAGCCAAGATAGCCTTTAAAAATGAAACAGAACATTCGGTCTATCTTTAATTCTGTATATTAAACGTGAAGAAAACATTTTCAAATGATGTACAGCATGGTATTTTTAACATACAAATGCACGAGCATTTAAACAATTTGAATTCCCTACTTTATTCCAGATGTTTCAAGGGAGAGTGTAGAATCCCCCTCCACGAATCTCCTTAGAAAGGAGAAGTAAGACCAGAGGCAAGGAGAAAGGGAGGGAAGGGTGGGGTGGAGGCCCTGGGCAATCCATTTACTTTATGTCCAAGGTGGAATTGAAAGTGGGAAAGAGAGGGCTTAGGGGATGCTCATATAATTATTTTTTTCTACTATGTTAATGTAATAAATACTAAAAAACAAAACAAAAATGCAGAATGAATAGAGAGTGTTATATGGTTGTTCACCTGTGACCTAGAATGAGAGGGACTCTGAGAAACTAGAGATGTAAAGAGTTTCCAGTGGGTAGCTTTTAGTTTACATATCCTGATGTGGAAGGTCAGGAAACTCATGAGGAAGAAATCCCGAGCAGGGTGTATTAACCTTAACTACTGTTCATGTTTCTAATAAGCCAGATACAAAATCTTGTGCTGTAATTTGTCATCATATTTGCAGCTCTAATTTCAGAACCCAGGCAAAACTCACTCCTGGGAGATTAAAAAGAGAAAAGGTTTAATTTTTGCACTTGTCAAATGGGTGTGTAAATGCAAATGATTAATTTGAATCATACTCTAAAACAAAAGAATGAAGAGCTATTCCATTTTAAAACTGTAAGTTTCTCAATCACAGTCTAGACTCTTAAACGATGGAATTCTGCACTGTTTATAGTTCTCCAGCTTAATTTCTAACTAATACACTGGTGAGATTACAGATGAAAATAAAGACCTTCTCTGACTTTTTTTGATATGATGCTTCTATTGAAATACATATGTTTATGTATTAAAAAAATTTAGGATCTGTCTATATATCTGTCTGTATCACTACCTATGTCTGTACCTTTGTATCTATATTCAATTACTTCCATTATCTTTCATGAAAAACAAGAATTATACTACTGTAAACAGTAAATATATATATTGTGCAAAACTTGAGAAAGAAAGCCACATTTTTTAAAAATAGACTTTTTTCTCTATTAATTCTTATTTGGAATGATCTTGGAGGAAATGACTGTTGAAGATTATGAAAAGCTAAAGCTATCCCTCCAAACCACCTTCTTGGTTCCTTAGTTAACTTTAAATAGGTTAAAGCCAAATTCTTAAAATACATTTAAGAGAAACAATTTAAACGTCAAATGAAAAACAAAGATAGCCATCACCTCTCAAGAGGTGGCAAAAGTGATCACAATATAATCAGCAAATTTTCAGGCTTACTTTTCAAATTTAACACCACAAAGTGAACATTTAGGTGGGAGAAATTATTTTCAAATGATAAATTTGATATTGGTTATAGTGTTATGGAGGAACTAGACTTTTTTATACTTTAATAAGAGTGGAAAGAATATTTTCTAGAGGCTTTGGGTCACAAATAATCAAAGGAAGGAAAGGAATTCTTGGAAAGTTATGTTCAAGGAAGACTTCTCCATCTTAATTGATCGTATCTAAGCTTCCCTGGGCCATTGTGAAGTCGAAGCTTTATGTTAGAAATGAGAACTGGGATTCTCCTAAGAGAACCTATCAGAATGGTTTAGTCATGCTGCTATCTGGGCAGGAAATTTCTTATATAGACATGGCACCAAGAGAGGATCTATGGAGAGCTATTCTATGTTATATGTTAATCCTTTGGGTTTGGCATATCAAAGAATGCCTGTAAAATAATAAGCAGGTGACTTTATTTCCTAAAAATTGATATTGAATATTTATAAATCTTGAAACAGCTTAATTCCATACCTTTTCCTCATAGAAATAGTACAAAATGAAACACTAAATTAGAAATAAAATTGCCTGACAAACCTTGGAGTGTGTCTTGGGTGAGCTGTAATTTATATAGGTAGATAAGTTCCACATTTCTATTTACATTAAATATTATATTGTACAGAACTCCAAATACATAGAAAAATGTCTTATATGGACCCAACCAAAAAATCAGTAATAGGAGCCTTTTGCTTATATTTCACACCCATCTGAACAAGATGATGTCTGCGCATTTAACACTTTATTTTCTGAAAATATTGTGTGTTATCTAGACACAAAAACTCTATAAAACCTTCAGGTATCTTGAAGAGACTTCCAAAGGAAATATTTCTGTATTTTATCTCCCTCTTGCTGTGAATTTCCATGGTTTATAAATGTCAATGACAATTAAAAACTTAAAAGTGAAACACTGTAAAATAATTACTCCCTTTATATGTGAACAATGCTGTGAATTACCTATTTCATGACTCCTGTCCATTTTACTGTTGGTACGTTAGGTGTTTTTTTAATTTGAATCATTGTATATTAAGGATTTAACACAGCATATGATAGTTTATTGTATTTTCACCAATTCGTCCTTTGCCTTTTCATTGATTTTGCATGTGTGTATATAACAGAAGATTACATTTTTGTATTGTCAAATCTATCTATTTTGTGTGTGATGACTTGAGGCCAATTTCTAAAGGGTTATAGGTTGCTGGCCAGTCCGTGCTTCTCTGCTCCTTCAATATACTTCTGCAAAGGGCAGGACTGTAAATGCGGATCTGAAACTTAGGGGAGGAGTTTAGGCTGGAGGAGTCTGTCTGGGTGTCACCTGTCTAGAGCGTCATAGAAACACGGACGCAGATGAATTCTTCTGCAGCAAGAACGGAGAGAGAGAGAGAAAGAGGAACGTGTGTTGGAACATCTGTATTTGGGGAGTGAGAAGAGGAAAATGAATTAGCAAAGCTGACATAGAAGAGAGACCAAAGAGAGAAGAGAATTAGGGAATCCTTGAGGCCAAGAAGGAAAGAGATATAAGGTGACAGTCAACTGGTTACATAGGATGGGATTTGGCAAGAGAAGCCAAGGAAAAAGTCGGATTACAAGGAACAGAGGAGCAAAAAGGAGATGAATAGACCAAACTTTCTTCTATTTGGTTGGAATCTCCAAGAACAAGTGAACATATTAAAACAAAAACAAAAATCATACTTATATGTACAAAGTGGTCTTACACCCTGTGTAGTTTCCTTATGCCCTCCCTCATTTCTACTACTATAATGATTTCTAAAACTTCCATAACAATGAGAAAGGAAAAGTTTTACAGAGAACACACACTTCACTTGAATGCCCTCTCCATGCCTAGGAATGATGTTAACAGGCCAATGCTTCATCTTAGGACATTTTATTATAATCACTCAAGTTACTTAACCGGCTTCACTGGGATAGGGAACTGGGTCTGGTCTTTCTGTGTGGATTCAAAATTGAAGTTGTTTAAATAGGCAAGATACCAAAAAAAGGGGAAATCTTGGAGAAGTGGGATCACTAGGAGGTCAGAAATGTGGTATAGACTAATGATCAGTCTCAGCCTTCAGACCCAGGGCCCGACCCTGCCGGAGGGATGGAAATGGAGCTGCCCACTCTCCTTCTCCCCACCCCCAACCCCCATTTTGTTTCTTATGCCTGTGACTTGTGTGTGGACAGTATTTTTGCATGCTCTGATAACATGCCTGGCATTGTCTGTATTTGTTTTTCCCTGTCAGGGAGCAGAAAGAAAAATCCGAGATGAAGAGAGGAAGCAGAACAGGAAGAAGGGGAAAGGCCAGGCCTCCCAAACTCAGTGCAACAACTGTGAGTGTCACTGGGGAGGGGTGGGCTCCAGCTGGGGCCACTGGGGGACAGGTGGAAAGAAGGGTTGCAAGTAAAACTATGGATATGCAAGGATGGCTTGCTTTTCCCTAGTAGTGGAGACGGGGTGAATTGTCCCTGTGAAAAGCAAATAGTCAATGATCACAGAGGGTTTGAGCTAGGAGGGGCTTTGTAATATCATGGAAACCAAAATTCTCCTTTTACAGACAAGGAATCTAGGGCACAGAGAGGGACAGGAGGGCATGAGGGGACCAGAACTCTGCCTCAGGAGTGCTCACTCGGAGTCTGAGCTCTTCATCTTGGTTTGGCAGTGGGAGAGGGGGTCTTTAAAGTGTGTTCACATCCATGGCATTTGGAAAGCTTCATAGGAGAATATCATCAAGTTTAGCCAAGACTAGGGCTTAAGTTGCGAGTCCTTTATCACATATAACCCTCTCCTTTATGGGTTTTGTGGTCACGTCCAGCCTCTGATGGGAAGTTGGCGGCGATACCTTTACAGAAGAAGAGTGACATCACTTACTTCAAGACGATGCCTGATCTGCACTCGCAGCCGGTCCTCTTCATACCTGATGTTCACTTTGCAAACCTGCAGAGGACAGGACAGGTATGACCTACCTGCTAACATCCCCCTGCCATCCATCCATGGGGCTCATAGAGCCTTAAGAAAAAAATCACTTCAGGCAGTGTTGACCTTAAAAAGAAAACCCACACTCCATGCCTTTGACAAAAAGTCAGTCATTCCCCAGAGAAAATGGATTTTTATGGAAAGGAATGTCTCAGGAGAGGAAACCAGCTCACTAAGGGGAAGAAGAGAGTGAGCTGATATTAGTGAACTGTTGGCAAAGCAATGAAAGAGGAAGAAAGTAAGGCTGATAACCTGTAAGTAGTTTTGTTTTGTTGGCTCTGTCATGTGGGATTAGTCTGATGCAATAGAGCTCCACCTAATGGTGGGAACTTGAACTGCGCCTATCGTTTCATAAAGTTGCACAAGAGGAGAAATTCTGTGATTAAATGAAACCCTATCAACAATCTTTCCCTTAGTAAACTAACAATTCCCATTGAATAGTTAAATCACTTCATACCAAAAGAAAAATGAGACTGTCGACAAACCTTTTAAAAAACAATTTCTATCTTCTAGGTATATCTACAAGTGAAATGAAAGAGCTAATTTTAAAATAACATAAATGTCCAATAATTAACTCTTTGTGGTAGCTCAAGTTGATGGGATATTATGTGGCCACTAAAATTATAATTATGGAAACTATATAGCAACATGGGAACTAGTTACAATAATGTTTAGTGAAAAAAAGTAGAATACCCATTTGTTCTGTACAGTGATTCCAAGTATATATCTGAACTTGAAAAATTATAACACTTGGTAAGTAGGGCTAGGAGATATGGTTTTTTCTTTTTGTAATATCTTTAGTATTACTTATTTTATGGGATAAAGTTGCATGAAAAAATAATAATTACTTCCCTAGCATTAGCCAGAATTGTCTTTCGCCAAACCAGTAGGGTTTTAGTGAATCTTGTATTGGTTGGTTTTCTTTTAAAACCAAAGTCCTTTGGGGAAAGGTCCATTTTGAGAAGTAGGGGCATACGTGAGACACACTCAAGTTTTTCTTCCATTCTAAGTGTTGAGACACTCATTGGAATTGACTTTAGTCTAGGAGGAGAAATCATTATTGGCTTCACTTTCTCTTTCTTGAGAATATTTTGTCCCCTTGTGTTGTTTCATTATATATATGAGACAAAGCAGTTATACAATAGGGGCTTTTTTGTTGCTGTTCATGACAAACATGGTGACAAAATACCCATAGTTTTTTCTTAGGGTGCATTCCACTAAAAACTAATTTAGCGTTCCCATCTTGTCTTACTTGTTAGATAGGAACAAGGACACAAAGGAGAAAGGAAGAATGTTAAGATTTATCAAGATATGAGGGCCAGCACCTGATTTTATTTATTTTTAATCCCCAAGAACGTGGTAGTGATTTGTGTATTTGCCCCATGTAAAGGTAGTCTTTGCTCCATAGGATTTTATGAAGCTAGGTCCACACCTTCCAGAAGAGGAGATAATTGAGTCCAATTGTTCTTATTGCTTACTGCCGTGACTCTGGCTTCAGCTCCGTGTCGAAGCTGACAGCCTGATCTGTTCTCTTGGCAAGATTTCTCTGAAATATAAAAAGCTGTAAGGGAATCTTAAGAGGATAAGCGACCCTCATGACTGGCAGTCCGGTGGCTTCACTTGCCCCCTCCTCTCCTGAGCTGGGCTCCTAGCTTGTGGCTGAATCAGAAAGCGTAGCCTTTATAGTGTGCTGGTTTCGGCATTTGCAAAGCATCCCAATCAGCATCGTGTCGTGTCCTGTGCCCGTCCTGTCCGTCCGTCGTCCCCTCCCACCCCCCCCATAGGTGAAGTTAAGTTCTGCTATCTGGGCCTCCCCACCCCCACCCCTTGGAGAGCCCTCGGGCTTCCCCGGTGGCCTTGGAGTCAGAATTAAAGCGTGAGACAGCCTGCCTGAGCTCCGGGCAACAAAGGAACACGCTCTCCTGGGCCCTGGAACAATGTGTGAATATTCTGTGCTTGATCAACTTGCTTGGCCAAAGGAAAGGAGCACCTACAGTAGCTGGCTGGGACTTGAAAGGCTGCCTTTTCTTACAAGAGCTAGAAGCCTGGGAGATGGGTCCAGAGGCAGGAGGGAAGATGGCAGTGCCATGGCGTTAGAAGTGGGCATGGGGCAGGGGTTGGCTGACTTTGACATGCAAAACAAGAGCTAGCAGTGGCAGGTCAAAAGATGGGCCAGTCTCACCATGGGGGTGGGGTGGGTAGGGGAAGAAGGCAAGTGACAGTGTGCAGCTGAGTAACCACTGTAGGCATGAGCCTTGTTAAAATCAGCCATATTGCAGCTCTGCACAACTCTAGCTCTGAACAGTCAGTGAGACACCCCAAGCCATGCTGAAGGCACATGAGCTATAGTACAACGATTCCTAGTCACCCAAGGATGGGGGCTGGGGAGTGGGTATTTTCACTGTCAGCCCACGTGTATCCTCCTCCTTCACTATCCCACTGAGTCACATGTGGGTTGGAATATTCATCAGACAATTATCAAAAACTAATATGAGGGAATGAACCCAATATGCAGGCATTGTGAAGATCTTCAGTCTTCCTTTTCTCACATTAAAGCCCTGATATTCACTGTGGCTTTTGTCTGGAATGCCTTTAAAAACAAGTGATAAGGGGACCTTGGGAGAAATTGTGGGATGCAGAGGCATTATCTTTCTGGATAATGGATACTTTGCAGGTATCAGCCTTCCTCAGGGCACCTGAACCCCAAGAGGACATCACCCCTCCCTCACACCCTAAAGAACAGTCTCCCCAGTTGTGGTTTGTAAATAGTCTGCCGCCAAATTACAGGAGTTCTTGATACCAATTTAGGTTCCCAATTTCCATTCCAGGTCTTTCAAGTTAAAAATCTCTGAAGGGAGTTCCAGGAATTTGCATTCATGACAAGGTTGCCAGATATTTTTTTATGCACTCAAAGTTTGAGAAACACTCTCTAAAAATTAAACTCAGGCAATAAGCCCTTCAGCAGACAAGGAAGAAACAGTGGGTCATTACATGAGAGGAGGAGAAACGACAATGCAAGGACGGTGACGGGGACAGTGTGGTAGAGGCCACTCAGGAGGGCAGGAAAACACTTAAGAGAAGGCTGTTTCCGTCTTCGGGTCACCAATCAACTTTGCAGAGAGCTGTCCATTACCCTGCCATGTGGTCAGCGGGGCAGATGCATGATGCCGCATTTAAAGAAACCAGCAAAAAACAGGCCTACATCAGGAACTTTTTCCAAAAAATCCAGTTGTGTGGCCAGTGCTGTAGCCCAGACTCCCTCAATTATGTGGGTCACTCCATATGCATCCAATAGATAGTCCGATTTCTAGTCCATCACAATAAGAATGCTCCCTTGCCACACGGAAACTTGGGGTGTGGGGGAGGAAACATCTCGACTTCATTGTTTTCTGTTTAAGAAGAAACAAAGTATACAATACAACAATAGACATAAAAAAATTAAAGAGGAAAAAATTCCCCGTGGAAATCTGAACTAATGACTAGAATGACTTGTTCCCAAAGAGTTCCAGGTAACCAGCTTTGTTATGGAACTACGTCTGGGCTTGGCAGCATCCCAGAAACTGCCGAGCCTTTGAGAAAGTCTGAAGGGAGGGTGTCAGTCAGGCCCAGCTGTTTCTCTCCCAGGTGACTGGGGCAGAGACAGTGATGAAATGCACTAGAACCAGAGGCGACTTTTGATATCAGTAGGTAAATGTCTGATACTAACTTGGGTATTGTTCTTCACCCAAATGAAAATGGTCCTGAAACACACAGAAAAAGCTCCTGAAAGGCCCGCAATTAATTTATATAAATAATTGGGTCAAGAGGACCTATATACACAGCAGATCCCTTCTGGATTTCTGTAGTTTTATAAAATAATCAGGATGCTTCACAATTCCTTTAAATCTGATTCTGCCTGCCACTGTGCTGACCACCTAAAGAAGTCTGTTCTCGGCGTCTTCTGGCCAGGAATACCTCCTGCAGCTGAACGACCTTCCCGCAGTCTGAAGACAGTTGACTCCTAGATTTTTGTGGTTGTGGGAGGCCAGAGTAAACCCAAGCCCCTTTGGGGAATAAAGAGAGGCCTGGGGTTCCTGCCGTGCGGCCACAGGACCCTCGTGCTCCCGCCCCCTCACCGAAGCACAGTGTCTGCTGTCAGTTCACCTGTGGACCAGATGGGGTTGGTAACTTGCAGACCTTGCTCCAGAGCCTTTCTCAACAATGATTTTTCGATCTTGCTAAAATATTTCCTTAATGTCAAAAGCACAGTTTGGCTTACGGCTATAGGTAATCTGATCAAACTGACTTGAGCTAGAAATAATCAGATTTCCAATTTTATTTCATTACAATCTAAGAATTAACCCTAAGGGGAACGTGAGGAGGTTAAATTTGTATTTCCTCAGAGACTTGCACACAGCGTCATTCTCACACACATACACACAGCATCATTAAACAGGTTGTCTTTTGTCTTTCTTAAGAGACAGTGTAAGGCTTTAGGAAATTCTGTGCATCACATGTTTCCATTTCTTGTGTCTGACCTACAGTGAGCCTATTGTTTTGTTCCACAGGTCTATTACAACACGGATGATGAACGAGAAGGGTAAGACACTTGGTTCTTTCACGTAAACACCCAAAGTCAGTTCATGTCGGTAGAAATGGCTCTTTAAGCACAGGGTGACCACGGGCAGGGACTGGGATCTTCCTCTTATCTCTTGACTCAGAGCTGAGAAACGCTTGATTCTGGGTACCGTCTGAGAAGAAGGCTGGGGGAATGCTGTCCTCCTTCCAAGTCTCTCTTTATTCCTCTCTCCTTCCTGTGATCTGCCTTTAAATAACTGGCTATTTTTCTAAGTGACACATCTCTTCGATTCTGCCTTTTCGCCAATACTCCAGTTACTGAAATCTTTGAACCCAACATAAGATCAAGCTGAGCTTGAGGCAAGAGCTAAGGAGACAGACTGCCCTACTTTAGGTACTACCTGGACCCCCCACATATCCCTCCAGAGGCCCTCACTCTGCCAAATGAGCCTGGTGCGCTAGTGGTAAGGCTGGTTTGAATGGGAGCGGGGAAAGCTGAGAACCTCGTCATTGTCCTTAGCGTTGTAGGTTAGAGAGGGTTTACATAGGGTCACTAAAGGCTCCCAAAGTCTTGCACATCCGGTCTTTGCATTGTGCTTTGTATCCATTAACTCATTTTATAGACTCCTAGAATTTTAGAGCCAAAAAGGAACCTTCAAGATCATTTAGCTGACTCTATCCTAGGCAGTGTAACATCTATACCACATCCTTGAGGGGTAGTCAGCCAGCTTCTACTTGAATAGGGATATTCTGAGTATTCTCACTGTGTGTGACATAGCTTATTACACTGTTGGATGGTTTCAGCTCTCGGAAAGTTATTTTGTCTGTTGAACTGATGTCGCCCTTCTTTTGACTTCTGCCCGTTGGCTGTAGTTCTGTTCTCTGGATAAGTCTCATCTTTTCCTCCTCATTCAAACATCTCCTTCCTCCCTGCAACTACACTTTGTAAAACATAGTTTTACTTCTCAACATCTAATTCTCCCTCTAGCGGATGCCACCAAATTTGTTAATAGTCTCCTTAAAATTGGCTCTCAGAAATAAACATGTGTTCTGAACCACATGAGTTGGAGATTATATTGGGCTAATTTCTTCTTATGACCTGAACACTATTTTTCTCTTAAAGCAACCTAGAACTACATTCATTTTTCAATATCTACCTTACATTGCACATATAGAAGTAAAATCTTGATTTTAGTTACATATGTATAACTAAAATTTCTAGATCCTTTTTTTTCAAACTAGAGTCAAATGAGGGCTTCCCTGTTCTTCTGTAATTTATATGTTCACTTGTGAAACATTTCAAGGTGAAGTAGGTGGGGCAGACGTTGCTGAGCTCGTTTCCAGAGCAGAGGTCGGCAGACGACAGCCTGAGGACCAAATCAGGCCCACCAGCTATTTTTGTACTGTCCACAAACGTTTTTAAACGGTTGAAAAAATCCAAAAGAATAATATTGCCTGACACATGAAAATGATGTGAAATTCAAGTGTCTATAAATAAAGTTTCATTGGAGCACAGCCACGTTAATTCCTTTATATGTTGTCTGTGACCGCATTGGTGTTACAACAGCACCGTTGAGTAGTTGCAACAGAGACCATACAGCCAGGAAAGCCTAAATATTTACTAATCTGGCCCTTTACAGAAAGAATGTGCCACCCTCTGCCCTAAAGGATAGAGACTCTCAAAGGAGTCAAATAATTCCCCAGCTGGTGAGGAGCAGAACCTTGTCTAGGATCTGACCTCTAAATTCTGAGTTCTAAATTTTCTCAATGCCTAATTAGATTGTTCTTTTTATCTTGGCACATAGCTAATATATTTCCAGTGGCTGGAATGAACAGAAATGATTAGCACTATCAATTCTAATCTGTTATTCACATATTTTACAAGGAACAGGGTGGCGTCATGGAAAGAACATTGACTCTGAGCTTAGGAAGCCCGTGTTCTACTCCTGGGCTGCTGTTTACCTGTGTGAAGCCTTGGGTGGCTCCCTGACTTCTGGAATTTGGTTTCTTCAACTGTAAAATGAGAATTTTATATAAGAGAGTTTTTAAGATCCCATCCAGCACTACCATTCTATTATTCTCATGGAAAAACTTAGCATTCTGAGTGACAGGTGTCTGAGACCTGAATGCTGCTTCTGTGCAGACCTCAGCTGTAAATCCACCTCGGCCTAAACTGTCTTTCCTTGCAAGTTGGCAACATTTAGGTGGCCAGTTGACCTACTTCTGACTCTTTCGGCTTGGACTTTCAGTAAAAATTGCCCTCTGTTATTGCATAATCACGAGGCCTGAGGACCAAGTCTCTTATTCTTACACGTTTTGTAGCGAGAGTCCAGTTGAGCGAATATGGGCCGCCATGGAACCTCCGTGTTAATACATAGTAGGTACTTGGCTATTGTTATCTGTAAAAGTACTAATTAACATTCACTGGATATTTTAGGTGGGCACTGTGCTAAGTGCTTTATATGCATTATTTTATTGAATTCTCCCAAAATTCCCGTGGGGAAGATGCTGTAATTACCCACTTTATAATGAGGAAACTGAAACTTCAGGAGATTGAGAAACTTGTTCTGAGTCACACAGCTGGTAAGTGAGAGGCAGCTTTTGAACCTGAATCTAGCTGCACTCCCATCGTCTGCTTTTAGCTCTCATGCCCTATCACCTAACTTCCTTAATTGTTAATCTACCAGGAATTAAGAATTCTTAATTCTTAAGCTTCCAAGGAGGCATCAAGAGACAAGCCCTCACTGTGAAGCTTTCTTAACAAGCCTTTGCCTCATCTTTTGTCACCCTTGGCTCATCCCTTGAAGCATGGGACTCAGATTGTGACAAGCCCAGATGACTGTAGCTGGCAGAAGGGATCAGATCTGAGGCCACTGCACACATTCAACTCTCCCTGAGGAGCGCCACCTTCGCTGGTATTGGCACAGCCTCCATCAGGACTGTCTCTGACCAGTTCTTCACTCTCCCTGCCAGGCATAGTCATGTTAGCATTAAAGCATCTAATTGACAGTTTGACAGCATCATTCACGCAACCACCAGCTGGAGGTGATAGCCCAGCCTAGGCACACCAGAGCCCCTCTCCCTGCCTGACACATGAAAATTATATGAAAGCCAGAGTGATGGTCAGACAAAGACTTGTTCACAAGTAGGAGACATTATTGGCCTAAAGTGCCAGCAAACCTGAATACGTTATTAAAGAGGGAAACTACAGAAAATTCAGATGAGGTGGGATGGGGAGCAATCATCAGCCGGGCGCTTAAACTACACAAAAAGAGGAACATTTGTTTGTTCTTGCCTCCCTGTCTGATGATCAAGTGAGTATTTGGGGTGACTTCTGCTGCTGAATTTGGGAATCGACAGACAGACTCCGTGCAGGTTTGTTTTGTAGGCAGGGGATACAACACTTAGGAAAGGAGTCTTTTGGACACCAGTTTTCAGCAGCAGGTCTCTTGTTGCACATTGGAATGAATACCTGACAAGTTAAAAAATACTCATGTCCAGGTACCACCACCAGAAAGTTTGATATAATTGGTGTGGGGTGCAGCTCAGGCATAGGGACATACTTAAAGTCCCCAGGTGATTGAAATGCTCAGCAATGTTTGAGAATCACTGCTCTAGAGCCAGTCAGCAGTGGTTTGATCTGGCCTTGACCTTAGAAGCTCTGTGACTTAACACAACAACCTTTTGGAGCCTCAGTTTCTTCATCTAAAATTAGGAAATAATAATACATACCTGATAGAGTTATTATATGGATTATTATGTAAAATGTCCTGACACATGGAAGGTGCTTTAAAAAAAATCATAGCTATTGTTATTGTTAAGGTTCCTTTTCAGGCCTTGAATAAATGATACTTAATTGAGAAATGGAAGAGGGGAGGGAGGAAGAATGGAAAGAACAAGTCAAACAGAAGGAATTTTCTGTAGAGCATGGGCCTTTAACCAGGGATTCACGAATGGCTTTCATAGGAAGGAGAGAAGGGCTTTAAACCCCTTGAAATAATATGTAAATTGATATGCAAATATCATGCATGGTGAGAAAATTCTATTTCCATTACTTCTGAGGATCTGGTCTCCATCTCTATCTGACCTCTGGTTCCTAGAAAACCTTTCTGGCCTTGATCTAACTTAGATCTGATCCACCAGTGTGGACAGATCTAACTCTGTCCACACTGGTCCCCACTTAGGTGCCACCTGCTCCAGCCTGCTCTGAGGTCCCTTCAAGCCTAGCAGCTCTGTGGCCCCTGCATTTGGGGCACAGGGATCCTTGGCGGGTTTGGGCATCCCTGTGTCTGGAGAACAGTGGGTTCCCTCTGATATCCTGCTGTCACTGTTGGATGCTGCTTGGGACCCTCAGACCTCAATACTCTCCAAGAGTCTCTCGACTCCTCTTGGTTGTTCTCAAAGGCCCACCACTGTCTCTCTTGGGGCCACCTTGTATAACCTCCTCAAAGCTGAGCCTCTAGCAAAACAAAAGCCAGAAGAAGGCAAATGTTGGACCAGGCAACTCTGTAGATAGGTTACATACCAGTTTGGAGAGTCAGCTCCCCAAAGTGACTTCGTACATCAGGCTCTTGAGTGACTGCAGCAGAGGGCCCTGCCTTTTCTCTTGCAGGAGGGAGGGTCCTGTAGATGCTGCCAGACCAAACAATGAGCTTGGTTACAGTGTTGCTGAGAAAAAGAGACGCTTCTGGTTGTTCATCTTCCATGGAAGCCAACACTTCGGCTAGAACTCAATACCCTTTAGGAAAGTTAGGGATCATTAGCCAATCACCAATGACTGCATTTAATCAACATAATATTAAACCTAAAAAGTATTCACTCTGTATTCATCAGCACAAAATAAAATTCATCTAGAATTCTGCACTATTTCTCTTAAAGGAGCAATTTCTGAGAGAAGTAAGTGCTTTTCTTTAATAAGGTTCTCAGGGATGCTAAGCAAACCATCAAATGTGGGGTATCATGGGCGATGTTTTACCATATTCACATGAATATAAGGTGATTACAAATATAGGGCAATTTCCC